GAAATAGGCAGATCTCAAAGTGTTTGGTTTACACCTTTAGCTAATTCTTTCAGAGCAAAACAACTCTTACTAAGCCTACCACAGAGATTGTCCACATGACAAGATCATCCCAAATTCTCATCTACTATCACACCAAGAAATTTTGCAGAGCTCACATAATTAATTTCTGTGTAGTTTAGATATATAGCATTTTCATAATCGTTCTTATTTCTGCTGTGTTTAAACAGGATACAATTTGTTTTGGACATATTTAATACTAAGAAATTTTTTAAAAACCACTCTGCCGTTATTGATGATATGTGCATGGTATCTTGTTTCAGACTTTCATAATCGGTACTGGCTATTAAAATCATCTGCATAATTTGTTAGTGTTACAGAAGACAAGTCTATCACATTTGATAGTTCATTAATGTAGAGGAGGAATAGCAAAGGACCTCGATTCACCCATATGTATCGATTCTTGTTCTGAGAAAAAGAGTCCACTATTTGTTTTCAGACAGACTTTTTGAGACCTTGCATTCAGATATGATTTAAACCAATCATATGCAATTGCACGTACGCCGGTAACGTATAATTTTTTTAATAGTAATTGGTGGTTTACAAAATCAAAGGCTTTTGACAAGTCTAGAAATACACCATGCACAATACAGCCATTATCTAGGTGATGTAGAATGCGTTCTACAAAGGAAAAAATTGCTGTAGTTGTAGATTTTCCTTTTTGGAATCCATGTTGAGTAGAGGTAATAATTCCATTCGTAGCAAGAAACTTAGTAAGGCGTTTACTCATTGCAATTTCAAAAATTTTCGATTTTGCTTACTAAAAAGAGGAAGTCATTCTTGGACCGGTTGAGTTTGACCGGTAAAATAGATTATAATGAGTAAAGGAGAACTGTTCTTCATTCAGTATCAAAATAAATTTATAATATTTAACTAAGAACCGCCACACATGCCAATAATAGGCAACTATGTGATGGACTCCGCATAGATCTTAGTCAACCTCCAATCAGTGGTAACATATTTTCATTAAATGATCTCATAATCGTTACCTCTAATGCAACAGCTTAACTACACCTTTCGCCAGTACCCCTATGGTATATTATGTTGTTACGGGTTTTCAAAAGATATTTTGTTCTCTCTTCTGTCGCTAAGGAAAGTCTCTTTCCAATCCTATCTTCAAAAATATGTAAAATTTGCAGTGGATATGTCCTTTTCTTTATCTAGTTATGCTTTCAGCTGTACTTCTAATCAGTACCCACTATGCATAAAAACGTTAAATTAATGAGAACTTTACATCATATTGTTACATTTTAACTCTCATTTTTACTCTTTTCATTTTCATCTATAGGACGGACTCAGAGGCCAGAGTAGGGACGTTTACTTTTATGATGAAACAATGTAGACGTCGGGGTGATATTACTCGTATAGCGCTACCTTATTACGTTATTCAACGTTATTGAAATGTCTTTTAAAAAACCATATGTGACATTCCTGTTATATCTAGGAGTCTTTTTCCTTCTTGTAGATGTTATTATAAAGCCCATAAAATGAAATCATATTAATGAACCAAATGTGACGTTCCAAATACGATACAGTTCATACCTTTTTATTTTTACCTTTGTTTTTAAATTTTATATGGACTATATGGACTGTTATATAAATATTTTATTTATATAATACAGAATAGAAATAAATAAACTTGAAGTTAAAAGCTTAGAAGACAAGTTAATCTTGTAATCACAGAAAATTTTACATCAAAAGTATGATAACACAATGGTCTAAATTAATATCAAAGATAAAAGTAAAAACTTTGATAAAATACCTAATACCGGGCAACAAATTGCTCCATAGTACAGTACTACCGTTACGTAACAAGGAATCATTGGTATCTCCATCTATTAACGCGGGACGAACTGTTAGGTCTGCCATGTCTGCGATAAAAAGACTAAAGATAGACATCTTAAAGATGTGTAACTTGTGCGCATTACTGTCCTGACCTATACGCGATATTATTGTGAGTTATATAAATTAACATCGTATAAATGTTTGTCACAGGAAGTAACTAAAAAGAAGTACAAAAGGTATTTATGTAACTGCCAATTCAAGTATTCTAGAATACATAAAACTTCATTTATAGATATATGCGAGTAAAGTTAATTTAGACATCTATGGGATATATCAAGAAAAGTCTCTATGAGAAACGTTAAAAAAAAGATTGTTTCATGTTTATGGGGTACCTTCACCATAATTTGTTATTTTTCAACAAACTAGCTTATGCCCTAGCTACATCACTCAGCTAACCGTCAAATTCAAGATCTGGAGACGATTTATGGAACACGGCGATCTTAAAAAACAACTAACTCTCTTCAGGTATATCTAGCCATTCCCTATGTAGAAAATGTGAACATCAATACGTAACTCTTCTTAACATGCCAATACCGAAGAATGGGCTGAAAAGGAATTTTGCTACAGGGTTTTCCTTTCTTTAATTATTACAAACTTACAAGCAACTAAACAATATAGTATTTAGTAAATGTTCGGTTGTATGTAGAGTGAGTACCGTCCAATGGCAGTTTTCTGTTCCTAGTCTAATCTTCTGACCAGGATCGCTTGAATCTCTTATCTTCTAATATATAAACGGGTAAATGCGTTGTTGGAATTGTTATTTTTCATGTATTTGTTTAAAATAATTTCCATATGTTTCTAGAGAGTTACATAGGAAATAGCTTTCACCAGCATTAGAAGAAATTCTTATTGGAAAGTCTGTAAATTATTTTTTGTTTGTTTTAGGATTAGCTAAAACCCCATAATCCGATTCAATATTAATTAAAACTTTATGTAAGTACATCTTTTGTGATTGATCTAATGCTAATAACTATGCAGTTAATGGAAGTTTTTCGTATAGACAACTATTTAATTAGGTTTAAAATAGTAAACGGAGAAGAAAATTTGTTTTTCTGGAATATTCAAATTAGCCGAGTTCGTCGAATTATCGCAAACGATTCACTAATACCTTTTAACCGAATTAATCTAGACAACCACCATGAATTAATTCCTTTTTCAAATTGACAAAAACACACTATTCAACAGCACGTCAACGCTAATTGCGAATTAATGAAACGTGCTCCGGTTTCGTCCTAAAAACGGAATAGAAACAAACAAAAAGAATTTTATTGGAATTCTTACAGAATATATTTATTAAATATTTTTTGTTCCACATCATCAATTTTTTATTTTCTAAAATAAAGAATGATCAAGTGGCACGATTTTAGCCCATTATGTTTTCTGGAAGATTTAAATCCTAGTAGTTCACAAAATATATATTGTTTCATTTAAAAAACAGAAGAATTATTCAATCTTTAAAATTAATCTCTAGTAATAACATAACATCTCACTTTGAGGAGTATCTAAAGTTAATGAGTTCAGTTGAGTTTAGGTTTGTGCAGGAAGCTAAGAGTAAGAGTGGACTTGACTTTCAACAATTTAATAATATAATAAAAGGTCTTTATTTCATAATTCAGCTAGCCGCTGTTTAACTCAATCGAATACCAATATGTAATATTAAAAATACACTATACAATATATGAGTCTATTGATAATACATTATTCTACATTCACATGGATATTAGCTTATCTATATGACACTTGCTGCGATTAAATGTTACATAGATTATAATAAATTCAATACTAAAAACTCTGTAACAGATCTGCAGGCTCTTAACTGGCAGCAAATGTATTTTGCTAACAATATAGATGAGAAAGTTAGTATATTAACTAATCCTATAAAAATTTTATTTGGTCCAGTATTGAGCCTTCTAGTATTGAGCCTAGCATTGAGCTAGAGCTTGTATCTTTTACAGATGGATAAGAAATTATATTCATTAAGTAAACTAAATATTCATTCATTATGTAGTTTGTCCTGAAAGTAGATAATAATAAAATATACACGTGAATATAGAAAAGGATACAAAAAAGAAACTACGATTTGATTAAAGTGTATTGCACTCATTGTATGATTTTTTTTTAATATGTTTCTTTTTCTTTTAAAATTTTCCTCGTATAAAGTTGTTTACTTCTACTCCGTAATTGCTTAACCATCAATTTCTTGCATGTAGTGCAAATTAAGATTATTAAAGAGTGGTCTACAAAAAAATTTCTAAAGTAGGCCATGACCGAAAACGACAGAGTAGAAGCCATATCCGTGATAACTACGCACGGCTCTAAATTAAATAGAAACATTTTCTGTGGATGTTATTACTAATATTATAACTGTAGGCTATTTATTTTAAAGTAATAATAATATATTTTAGTTTAACACTACTATTGTAAAACATTACACAGTAACCTATTTACAAAGGTTGTGATGAAAAGTAACAAAAAATTGACATCTAATCAATCAAACGTTCACTAATTGCAATATGTTCCAAAGTAACTAATGATAAATTAGGTGTAAAATTTACCAATTTTGTATTATTTGGATTTATACTTTGTTTATTTTTGTGTTCAATGACCTCGTTGATTTAAAAACCTAATTTCCCATACTTTTATTATATCCATGAATTTTTTTTTGTGTGTCATTGGCATCAACTGCTACGGTAATTAGCCTTGTGTTCTGTGTAGGCCTTGTTACTGTTTCTTAGCGTCACTTTAGGAACAGCACTGTTAATTAGTACCTAACAGTGAATGGTCGGGTGGGGAATCCTTTTTATATTGGTATCATCTGCATGGTATATTAAAAACGCTCTATCATCTGTTTGCAGAGGAAGATCATTTAAAAATAATAAAAGTAATAAAGGCCCTAATGTACTGCCTTGTGGTACATAGTTTAGGTACCATTTTGAAAGTAGACATAAATATCCTTTATTTTTAAACTTGTGGTATCTGGCTCATATACTATACGTACATAAAAACAAAAAACACGCCGCACAAGCAAGCCAAAGCCAACTTTGTCCTTTGTCCTATCGCCACGTAGGATCTAATCTGTTTAATCATTTTTTTTTCAGCATCGATTCACGTGCCGTTCGGCAGAGTACAACTACGTAACGCTCCAGTGTCAACTGAGTGACACAGACCGCAGGACGGCAGGCCAATTCGTACAATTCGTGGACGCCCAGGGGGTGGACTACTTCGAAAATCTGTGTCTCAAAGGCAACCAAGCGTGCAAAGGTAAGGGATAATTGGGTGTAATTAACCATGATTAATAAATAAATCTAAATACTGATGATTTACACTTGGTGTAATCGCACGGGAGTGTTGGGAATAGCAGGGTTTGATTAATACATATAGGGGTGCAAAGATCGATAATATTTTAAAAGTAACACAGCTCTGGTAATTCATCATTACAAGGGCGACATTTTGAAAGCAGTTTATTGCATTATTTCTTTATAAATGCCTTTTTCTTTTCTATTTTGTACCCTTTTCACTCTGTATCCTTAACGTAGTTTATTCTTTATCTGTATAATTTTTTTAAATTGGAATAAGTATTGTTCTTTTTGCTAGAAAATAAAAGTAACATTTTTATATTATAGTTAAAATGTTTATTGTTACTCAAAAATCACTCGGTATGTCAAGTTTCAGCAGGAAAGTAAAAAACGAAAAATCGCTTTGAGCCATACCCGTCGAAGCGGCAGAACAAAAATTGTTTTTTATTGCTGAAACTAATACATACAAGGCGGCCCAACGAAAACTCATCATGGTTGTGGGTTTTGGGCATTAATATGGCAGATATTAAAAAACTTTAAATTTGCATCAAAGTTCACTCAAAAATAAAAATTATATTATCACTCTTTTCAATTTGGATATAATTTATGCTTATTGACATTTAGACTTGGTATATTGATATTTTAATTATGGAACTTGACATATTTCGTCTTGGAGGTATTAAAAACAACAGGCATGCATCAATAGACCAATCAGAAAATCTATTTAATGGTGCAGATACAATTTTTGTATATAGTACGAACTAAGGTCGACCTTCACTTATCTGTTTAATGAAAGAAAGTTTTTTTTATTAAATAAAATATGTATATAAATATACCGCAAATGGGTTACCTAAGAAAATAGTATCACGGCTATTTTTTATTTTGCTTTCTGTATACAGATAAGGAAAGTATAGGAATCATGATAAAAGTTGACCACGATGACATTCTCTATAATTTTGATCCTATAGATAATTTCGAAATATTTAAGGAAAAGTGGAAATTTTGAAAATAATTTAAAATATGGGGTGTCGTTTTTTTACATTAAGAAAATAAAGTCTTTACAGCATTTTCTTATGCAATCTATTTGCGGTATATTTATAAACATATTTTATTTAATAAAAAAAAAACTTTCATTCGTTAAACAAATGGGTGAAAGCCGACCATACTTCTGATCTTAGAGTATTATAAGACATGCATTAAGAATGGGACAGAGAACAACTAAAAATTCTCGGATTAAAAATAAGACCATTAAACAAAACTTGTTAAGATAAAATATTACTTGTTTCCGAAATATAGGGTGTTAAAATTAAAAATTTAAAAATAATTAATGACTATAATTTTTTTATTTTTTAGTAATTTTACTAAATTCAGCAAACATAAGATACACCTATAAGCGAAAGAATCAGTCAAATAAAATTTACCAGTAGCGTGCTGCATGTATAAGTAACACTTTCACACTAAATTTTACGCCACTATCCAAAAACTTATTTGGAATGTTATTTTATATTTTTGATGTGTTTTTTAAATAAATCATGTACTCTTGTTCGGAACTCATAAAGTGATTGCTATGTCCCATTCTTAATTAAACACCCTGTATTTGTCTTTAGCACAAAATTATTATTGGTAAATTGTTTACATACAAGATAAATAGTATTAGTCTTAAAACGGATCCCTGAGGTACCCCCATATTATTGGGCAATTCAAATTAGTACTTTTTTTCTATGGATTGGAAGAGTATTAAGCATAACACATTTTTGTAAGGATAATGTTATGGACAGTTCGCCAATATCACTATTTGTTGTTATTTATTTTAGCGCCCTCTAACGGAATAAAAAATATATTATAAAGTGTGAAAATTCATTTTAATAGTAATTTACTGGGCAGGAGAAATTTGTTGTTTTATTTGATAGCGATTAGTTTGTATTTCTTAAGGTAGAATCTCTGCAAGATTTTTCAACGTAACACTTTTTTATCCCGCTAGAGAGCACTTAAATTAATAGTAAAGCAATTACCTTTTCTTCAATGATGTGTCATACTTGGGAGGAATGACGTATGAGAGTTGAGGATATGATTAAAGAACGTTTCTCTCCAAATTAAAATCGCGCGTTTTATTACCCAAAACCGCCATTTTAAGTTTTCATTGGACCACATTGCATTATAGTCTTAGTAGTAGATCAAAGAAAACTTATCTAGAAAGTCGCTTCGCTCCGGCAAAATTATTTTCCTTGCATAGAATGCTCTCTCAGAAAGAAAATATAATAGAGAAAATTTCAAAGAAAATGCACTTATGTGTACCGTTCCGTATACATATTAATACAAAGCGACTCTCTGGTTATATGAAATTTTATAAACTCTGGTTTTGGAAATTAAATTAAGTATGTATACGTAGTTCATAAATTTCATGTTTGTTCAAAATATTCCCCGTTGTATTCAATACATTATTTATTAATTAAAGCTGGCCAAGTTTCTTTTAAGATTTATTAGGTAAATCTTTGTTGTGAAAGTTTTTGGGATGGATCAATAAGAAAACAATACCTGTGCTTATTTTTTCTTTAAGTCTACAAATTAAATTATAAAAATAACTGTCCTCTGTGTTCACCAAAAAAGTTAAATATAAAGGTACAATTTGGGAACAAGAGAGCGATGCAAGTGACTGCAACAGACGTTATGCTTCGCGGTCGCTTGTCTCAGACTCCTGCCTCGGTCTCGCGTTCCCAAATGGTACCTTTTATATCAAACTGATTTTAAAATTCCAAATAATAACGACTCCAAAAATGTACTTTGCTTTACTATAAAATAAAAAGACATTGTATTGTTTCCTTAATGATTTCTAAATTTTAATCGATAAAGTTATCAGACTATGCTACCAACATAAAAATATATAAGCTACGTCTTAGAATCTCTGGTAGGGAGCTCCGCAAGCGAAGCCATATTATTTATCAAAATTAGTATGTATATTAACAATAATTCATTATAAAAAAACATTTCTTTTTTCAGGCAACCGTAACTTCCAAGTTCCCAGAATTGGAGTTGCAGACGATAAAGTGGCTCAGTATGCTAGCCTGCATTATTATACCGACAAAGAATTACAAGTTACCAGTGAAGCGGCCTGCAGACTTGCTTGCGAAATTGAAAACGAATTTTTGTGCAGATCGTTCCTCTACAAGTAAGTATAGTGACAAATGTAATGTGACAAATGTAAAGGAGTATCTACTCAGTAACATCTGTAGCAATTAATCGATAATATTCGATGTGTCGTTGGTAATCGAGTAGTTAAGTTAGAAATAGATTTTTGTGATATTCTTTAAAATAATAGCTAATAAAGTTTTTAGTAAAATATTTGATAATTGTTTGAATGCCGATAATCAGAGACGAAGGTTGACATTGAAAATGTGCTCAATCAACAGATTCGAATTTTGTAATCGATTTTAATCGATAATTCTTTCAATCAAAATTTTAATTATACATAATGTCATGTCATATATCACAAATTGAAAAAATTTAACTAATGAGGAATTTTGGCAAAAACTTCATTGATTTTTAATGTAACTCTGTGTTTAGGAGTAAAACAGCCCTTAACAACAACCACATTCTCTTCTCTTTTTAGTTGAACCGTCACCATAAGATCTAGCAGCCCTATAATTTTTAATACTTTTAGATATATGTATACCTATAATTGGGACAGTTGCTTTAAAATAACTAACCTTCGAGTTTTTACATTTCGGTACTCTCTACTTATTATAATTTTCATGGATTATAAAATAAACCACTTTAGGAAGAATGTTAGAACCGGTTGTTTTTACAAAAAGTTGATCCATTTTTCAAAGAATAAAATACATAACCGAAATATACTAGGTATTTTTTTAACATACGCCAAATATTCAAAGCGTCATTCCCTGGACTATTCTAAGTATATTTTGTCCTTTGATGATTTTTATTATATGTGTAAAGAATTTTAGGAGTACAATTCCAAAATTGTTAAGGTTATGAAAGGTTTTAATTTCACTAATTTTCTAAACAATTTAATTTCAATAATTAGAACATAAAAAATAAATGTATTTTCAAAAAAGTTAAGTTACAGGTACATGTTTTCACACATAATTTAGTTTAGATTTCTCTTTAATAAATCAGATTTATTTGTTTAGGTTGCGTTCCCCCAAGGTATGCAACCAGGATTACCATAGCAGTGGTATTTAACCAGAGTTGTACTGGCTTTTTTTGGGTAAAACTTTTACTTGACTGGTTTAATAAAATAGATTCATACTTATTCATTTGCAATACAATAATATTAAATTGTTTTACATATTATTAGTATTATTATAACTTTATTATAAACAAACCAAACATTGCATAAAATAAAAGTTAATTTTGGGTTCTAATTAACAGTGCTGTTCCTAAAGTGGCGTTGGGAAACAGTAACAAAGCCTACACAGAACACGAGGCTAATGATCTTAGCAGTCGATGCCGATGACACCAAATTAAAAAAAAAAACACTTAAATTTTATAATAAACCACTGAAATACTTTGTATTATTAATACAGAAAGCATATCGTATAAGCCAGTGGCGTTTTAAGTGGACTCGTATTTTCAAAAAAAAAAAAAATTTTAAATTTGTGATATCGGATTCATGTTTAAAAATTAAAGTTAAAAATCAACAAATAATTATATCTCATAACTTTAAAATTAATATACAGTATTAGCCATAAAGTTGGATCCATATAGAAAAATATTAGGATTAGAAAAAACGTCGTAGAACATTTATTTCTGCTTATTTAAAAACATAAAATAGTCTATATCAAAGTATCACATTAGTATCACATTAGTATCACATTAGTATCACATTAGTATCACATTAGTATCACATTAGTGTCTGTCAAATTGGCAAAATTTTTGAAAAATCGTTAAAATATGATCTTTCTTTTAAATAAGATTTTGAGAGATAGATAACTAATGTCAGTTGTCCACTTTGATATGTGCTATTTTAAGTTTTTAAATAAGCATATGTAATTGTCCTAGGACGTTTTTTCTAATCGTAATATCTAAAAAAATCCCATATGGATCCAACTATATGAGACACACTATATTTTTTTAATAAACTGGACAGACAGTTTAAATGAATAAAAAGACATACTCAACTGATTTAGTACGATAATATAGGACATATCTTTATTAAGCAAAATTTATGCTTTGTTTTTTTTTTCAAATACCTTTTATATTATAATTCACATTCAATTCAACCTGCTTTGATTAATTATTTGTATTTTTTCCAGGGGACCCCCGCAGGGAAGTCAATACAATTGTCAACTGTTCCATTTGGACCACAAGACTCTTGCTGATGGACCAAGCACGTATTTGAATGCCGAACGACCTCTAATAGATAACGGAGAAAGAATTGGAACGTATTTTGAAAACAACTGTGAAAGTATGTTTATATTTTAAATATTATAGAATTGACAAAAAAAAGATATTGGGTTGGTCAAATTTTATTATTAATAAGTGACAATACAATTTTTATAATATCACTACGGTAAATGAGTTGCCATAACTACGAAGTAAAATACCTTCAATATAAAAGAGCATCTGTCAGTCATTCGTTGTCTAATCTTTCCGAATATAACTGGAAAATAAAACACACACAACTCTTGTATTTTCATCGTTGTTTCTGATATTTTCAAAAAATATCGAAAATGTAAAATTTCTGATTTTTCACATATTTTTAACGGAAAGTGATACTAATGACGTTTTTACTAGCTACGCCCCTTTTGAGTTGTATTTCGGCAACTCGATTGGTATGAGCTTCTCTACAATTATGTCTTTATTGTATAGGTCTATAAGCTTGGTATCAGGTTGACAGGTTATTTTATTTTGTAAATACACCATAAATTACTATAACAAACCAAACGGCATATTCTACACTCTACAGGTGCAAACAATATACTGCCGCTTTTTCATGTTCACAATTTTGAGTAGGTAATAGGTATTGCATTTTTGTCACTTAGTTTTTCTATTCGCTCCGTGCGTGACAGCAGCGCCAATTCGTTTTGGTATTAATGGACTATTTCTGCGTATACTGACAAATACAATTTCTAATAGAATTCGTAATTAAAAAGTATATTTGTTAGTTTTAATAAAAGTATATGGATTTGTAAAACAAGTAAAACATTAATTTATTATTATTATTATATATTTTTATCGTTTAAATTAAAGAAAATTATGTATAATCAATAAAAATCAATAATAAAATATAGGCAGGCAACAGTATTTACTGGAAAATGTATGAGAAGTTGCCTAAGTCTAATAAGTTGTCATTGAAGAATTAGCCTATTCTGTCAAAATAAAAAAATACTATTTAATAATAGCGTGAAGTTAAAATGTATAAAAAAAGGATCGTTATTTATATTTTCATTTTTGTTCGAAAGAAAACATAGAATGAATGATTAAAACTGATTTCCCATCAGTAGGTAAGTCACAAAATTGTATTCCAGCCACATATAATAATCAAAGGCAGAAATCTTGAAATCTAGTCCTTGAGGAATGAACATTTAATAATAAAGGGATATTAAAGAACATCGTAAAATGATAATTTATTGTTTATTTAAAACCTTTTAAGTTTCTGATATCTACTATTTTCAGCATTACTGTTATTACAAAAATAAAGGTAATTTTTCTTCTTATTGTACACCTATCCATTTATTTTTTTGATTTAATTTCCACTCTGCTACTGAAATTTTTTATATGTTTCACTGTTTTTTTTTTTGCTAGTATTTGTACAATTTTCAACATAGCAACTCCGGTTGCTTATTGTATTATTTTTACCTACTTTTTTGAAAAAAAGTAAAATGTATACGTGTATTTGATATGCCAAAATTATAAAATATCGCCCTAAAATGCACGAATTATCCGCAGCTAGCGCTAGTATCACTTTTGCTTCCCTATCCATGACCGCACGGAGCGAATAGGCTATACAGGGTGTTATTGAAATACACGTACATATTAAAACTGGGTATTGCGCAGATCCCCACTGAATGTAGAAAAATATTATTTTTTAAAAATACCCCTTATTAAGGGAGTTATTAATTTTTGAAAATTAATTCTAAAACAAACGTACTTCACTGATATGTTGAGGATGACCTATATAAATTAGGTTTATTTACCTATTTTAAACATCAACAGTAATTAATATGCAAGTTTTTGTCAGATGATAAGAAAACTAGTCTTGTAAGAAATAACCATGTTGCCAAGATTTTCGAATTAATTTCTATTTCCGAAGACTGGTTTTTACTACCCTCGTTATCAAAAAACTAGAATATTTGATAAATGATTGTTTTTAAACTATACATTTTTGAAACTATAGATTATTAAAATTTTAGTTGATTTACGAATCTGGCTAACACGAGCGCGTCATTTCCAAGTTGGTAAAAAGTGTTGTTACGATTACTTTTAAATATTTTTTTACGATGCCACCATTTACGAATATTGAACTAACGGATATAGTGCTGGTTTATGGAGCAGCTGGAGAAAATTATCGGCAAGCACAAATCCTGTATCGCGAACGGTTTCCAAATCGGAGAATTCCGGACTGTCGTACGTTTATTTCAACTGTTCAGCATCTAAGAGACCATGGAAAATTTAAGAGTGTCAATGCAGATCGAGGGAGAACAAGAACACAAAGAACATTGGCGGCCGAAGAAGAAATATTGGAAGCTGTTGAAAACCGGCCTCAATTAAGTTGTAGAAGACTAGGTCTTGAAATTGGAGTGTCCTCATTTGTTGTGTGGCGGACACTTAAAGAACAAGGTTTGCATCCTTATCACATCCAAAAAGTCCAGGCCTTATATCCAGGTGATGAAGAAAAGAGAGTGGAGTTTTGTGAATGGATGATTCAAAAATGTGTTGATATTCCTGATTTTCTAAAAATATTATTGTATACTGACGAGGCTTCATTCACTCGTGATGGCGTGTTCAATATGCACAATACGCATATTTGGAGTGATGAAAATCCTCACGCCATTAGGAAAACTGGGCATCAAAGAAAATTTTCAATAAATGTTTGGGCTGGCATAATAGATCAGTATTTAATCGGGCCTTATGTTCTCCCGAACAGATTAAATGGGCCAGGATATCTCCACTTTTTAGAAGATATTTTGCCAGTACTCCTAGAAGAGATACCGTTACAATTAAGGCAACGGATGTGGTACCTACTAGATGGCGCTCCTCCTCACTTTGATTTAAACGTACGGCAGTTTTTGAACATTAGATTTCCTCAAAAGTGGATAGGCAGAAATGGACCTACTAAGTGGCCTCCGAGATCTCCGGACTTAAATCCATGCGATTTCTTTTTGTGGGGTCACATAAAACAACTGGTTTATAATGAACCTATTAATAGTGTTGAACAATTAACCAATAAAATTAATGCAGTAGCCGAGGAACTACGACAAAATCCAAGACTAATTTCTAATGTTCAAAGTTCTTTGGAAAGACGATTGCAAGTGTGTGTAAATAATAATGGACGGCATTTTGAACAATTACTGTAATAAACTTTATTTTGAATTAATTGGTTTTGCTACGGCAACAGTGCAATTTCTATGGGTAAGTTCAATTTCGATTTATTTTACTTCTTTAAATATGGAAACTAGTAGGTCGGAAAAGGGGACTCTTCCCCAATATTTAAATTTTAGAATTTGAAGTTAAAATTGGTGCCAATCGTTTTTGGTCATTACATACTATTCCCCATTTTAATATGTACGTGTATTTCAATAACACCCTGTATGAGTCATATAATGAATTTTCGTCGGTTGAGAAGAAAACTGTCCTATGTCCATTTAAACTATACTATATCCATTTTTTTTAAAAATAAATTATTGCCATATTATTCCAAGTTATATTTAATTCTAGCTTGTGCAGTGCTATCATCCAATGCCCTAAGAAGCACCGTATGTGGAACAAAAATTGTCTACAATTGTCTTCATTATATAGGACAATAAAACATTCAAATGCGTTATACTCAAAACTAATAGAAAAGGAATTCTTCTCAAACGACGATTTATGTCTCAATGACAGTTAACTTTTAACACTAACATATCGTAAAATGTCATTAAATTGTGATCACTTGCAGCTAGTGAAGAGTCAGTCTTCTACGTATAGTTATGATCATTGAGTTACAAAATAAATGAAAGTGGCCCCAAAAAAAGCCCTGAGGTAAATTTGAGGATACAGAAATTTCGTTAGATAATACATTATTTATTTTAGTCTTCTGATATCTGTTTAGAAGAGACCCTTGATACCATAAGTGTACACTTTTCATGAAACCAAAATATTAAAGTTTTTTGATAAGTAAATTAATGTCAATGGTTTCAAATATTCTTTTAAAGTCTAAAAATACAGCTACAATATATTTGTGTTCATCAACTTTAGCTTCCGCTTACTCAACATCAACTGAAGAACTGTTTTGCACTAAATCCAGATTGGTAGGCCATTAAGATATTGTTATTTTGAACATATTCACAAATTTGTTCATAGGCTGCTATTTCTAGGAGTTTTTCTAAAGATGATACAATATGTATAGGTTGTTGTTATTACTAATCGTAGGATTTGGTACAATTTTATTTAACTTTAGATGATTAGGAAATCTGCCTGTAGCCAGAGAAGTATTTATAAAATTTTAAATAATTCGGCCAATTACTGAAAACATAGATTTTATAGTTTTCTTGTTAAATAAATTTGAGTAGTTCTGTTTTTAAAATGGAGATTCAGTATCGCTTATTTTTAGATCTCTATATCTGTAAAATAACACAAAAGTATTTGTTTTTCTGACCTACATGGAAAAAAATAACTAACCGTTAGCGAACTTTTACTTATCGCAAATAAAAAGTTGTATACTATAATATGGTACAGGTAAAATGTTTACTTATAGTAAGTAAAACAAGATTTCTGAAATTAGTCACCTGTGGTTAGTGAACAATTTAATTCGTTTTTAGACAACCTACAGTTAGTGAACTATTTATTTGTGATTAGTATACATTAATTTCTCACCAGAGGTAAACTTTATGCTACTAATTGGTTTTGGTATATTTGCTGCTAGTTAACTGTTTTCTTGTGATAAGTGATCTTTGTTTTAGTGGGTGGTATATATTTATTTATGATTTTGAATTATTTATAGGCTTTAAAACATTATTTATCATTATTATCATTATTATGTAGAAAGTATTAGATTTTATAAACTTTATTGGTTCCCTAATTAGGCTATAGGTACTAATGACATTTATAAAAATTTTAGTACTCAGGAATTTTAAAATAATATCAACTGTTACAAACAATTTAAAAAGGGCAAATATGAAAATATTAAAAAATATCACAGTCAAAAATACACGATTGATGTACCTATCAAAAAATGTATAAGGTACTTATATAATAATAATAACA